TTTTTGTTTTTCTTTTCAAGCTTTTCTTACTAGATTTCATTTCCTGTGCCTTTTTAAAATTCATTTTTTTGTCTTGCTCATCTATTTTTCCAGTTTGAACCTTATCCATGTATCCATTTGTTTACAACTGTTGTGGTGATGATGATACTGGGGATTTTGCTTGCTCATCTGTGCTCCTGTTTATATTCCCTATGCCTGGTACTTACTTACAGGGATGAATGAATGATGACTGAATTGTGAGAGTGATGCAGCTGAAGTGTGACTTCAGGTCCTGAAAGAATCCTGGGCTGGAGGGCAAGGTGAGGAGCAGCGCTTGTGTAATCTGAAGTTCAGTGTGTGGCTCCATCAGTGTGAGTGTGTTGCTTCCAGAGCAGGAAGATTCTAGAACACTGCAGTTCAAAGGGCCTGGGGCCTCATTCAGCTGAGCCTCTAGCTCTCATGACAGAGAGACAATATCAATTACAAGGCAGGGGGTAGCAGCATCCTGTTGCAGAAAGAACTAGGCTTTGGGGTCAGATGGATCTAGGTTTGAATCCTGGTCCTGAGACTAACTAGCTGTGTGATTTTAGGATGATATCTCTATCTCAGCTTCCTCTTCTGCAAGTTAGGGATAATACGAGTACTTACATCATAGAGTTATGAGGATTAAATGAGCAAATACATGTAGAAGAGTACCCAAGACATAAAAAGCGCCAAATATCAATGTTATCAATGTTAAGCTGTTATCAATGTTAACAATAATAGAATATAAAATACAGCAGTAGTGTTTGGTTAGTAGCATATCTTGTGGCATGTCTGCTCCCCAGATGAGGCATGACTTTTGTTGTCAATTTAGGGCTGGGTGTAAATGCTTCTGAATGGGTTTCCCTTATTCAGGGGGAAATGCTATCTCATCACATGCGGATTGGTGATGCCTGGGCTGTTACTTTATGTACCAAACAGAAGGGCTTCCTCAAAGAGTAGAATTTTGCAGATAATCTTGTGATCTTTTCGTTCAGTAATGTATTTTCCATTAGAAGCAAAACAGTAACTACAACAGATAACCTGGAGTTTACAGTCCAGCTTTACCCATAGACAGCCTGCATTATTAAAGACCAATTTTTACCCAGAGGTCCATTTTAAACACATCCAACATTTTGGCATGGTGGCTCATGCCTGTAATCCCAGCACTTTGGAAGGCTGAGGTGGAAAGATTGATGGAGGCCAGGAGTTCAAGACAAGCCTGGGCAACATAGTGAGACCCTGTCTCTACAAAAAAATTTAAAAAATTAGCTGGGCACAGTGGCTTGTGTCTGTAATCCCAGCTACTTGGGAGGCTGAGGCAGGAGGGTCGTTTGATCCGTGATCGTGCCACTGCACTCCAGCATAGGCAACAGAGCAAGATCCTGCCTCAAAAACAAAAGAAAGCAAAAAAAACAAACAAAACACATTCAACAGAGCATTAATTTCTTATAGAAAGGGGTAGTGTCTTAACTTATTCTGTAGCCTGCTCCAGGTGGTAACCACATGAGATAATGTTCACTATGACAAAGCCTTTTTTTCCACCTTCTTTTTCTAAAGGTGCATCACTGGGGCACTGTGAACCTTCTTTAAGAGCCCTATTTCTAAAATCTTTATTTTTGACATTCTCCTCTGGATTTCCTGCTTTGGTTCTTTGACCTCCAGCAAAGATGTAGAAATGAGTGTGTGTCAAACAATCTAGGCACAGAAAAAGAATGCAGTCCGGTCCTGTGTTTCCTGTTTCTTATGGGCTTATGAAAGCAGAGAGTTGTGGTCCACAGAGCCTCATGCCTTCCTGCTGCCCGTGTGCCTTTCCGTGAGTTTTATGATTTTTCTAATAGCTTTATTGAATTTTAGTTTACATATCATGTCCCTGAGTGTTTATCAGGAGTTTGACTTTGATTCTTGTTTAACTTCTACAGGGTGGTAGAGTTTTATATTTGAAGCCAGAGGGGAAGAGGAAAGAGTGATCACATTGATTAAGTGCCTGTCCTTCATCATGTAATTCATCCATCTTTCTTGAGCTTTTGCTCTGAGCCAGCATTGTGAAAGTCACTTGGGTGGTGGTTCAAGGACATGAATGCGAGAGCCAGATTATCTGGGTATGAATCTCAGCTCCACTAGTTATCAGCTGTGGGACCTTATGACTGCTTATTTAACTTCTCTTGTGTCTCAGCAGCCCCCTCTACCAAATTAGGATACTAATAGTATAGCATCCCTCTCATAGGGTTGTTTTGAGGATTAAATGGCTTAGTAATATAGAATGAGACGATGATGATGGGGAGGGGTTAGGACTCTACCAGACGCCTCATTGCTCTCATGCTGCTCACAGTTAGGGACTCAACCAGACACCTCATTGCTCTCATGCTGCTCACAGTCATGAGTGTACACGTGTGTAGGGCTGAGGTGCTGAGGGATGGGGCCGGAGTGTGAGATATGTGAATAATTAATTACAGGTAGCATGGTGAGTTTACAGCAGGAGAGGAGGAGGGCATTGTGGTAGCCTGGAGCGGGGAGGCCCAGGCCCTTCGTAGGTTAGAGGAGCAGACTGGAGGAAGTCATGTTGAAGCTGAGATCTAGAGGAGGCTTGGGGTGGTGGGCGAGGGTGCGAGGTTCAGTTGTGTTTTGTGTTCTAGGCAGACGGAACAATATATGTGAAGGTCTGAGGAGAAAGGCAGTCCCATGGTATTTAAGCAACTGAGGAAATCCAGTGAGCCTAGAATGTGGATTGTGAGGAGAGTGGTAGGAGACAGAGCTGGCAGTGACAGCAGGAACCAGATTATGGAAAATTTGAGAATCATTTTAAGGAGTTTGGGTGACAAAAAGCTAGGTAGTGCCCTTAGGGGCTCCCATGCATTCTTTCAAGCATCACAATTCTGTGGTATAGGTGTTATTAGCCCCATTTTGTTGATGGGGAAGCTGAGGTTTTGAAAAATTGTCATTTGCCCAAAGGCACAGGCTTAGATGGTCAGTGCAGCCAGGTATGAACCTCGGTCTCTCTGGCTCCATTTTTTTACGATACTATATGCCTTTGGAACATGAAGTCTGGCTCTTAGCTTTATGATTTCAGGCCACCCTCTTAATTTCCTTTAACCTTAGTTCACTGACCTGTAAAATAGATAATGTGTTAGTAAATACAAACCTCGTATACTTGTAGAAACAAATGGAAATACACATAAAGGGCCAAGTATAATGCTACCACTGCTCATGGACCCAGATTCTTGTACAGAGAAATATTTTTCCTTCACAGTCCCAGTGAACTGGGATGGAACCCCATGAGCTGCCACCTACATGTTGGCTTGGTTGTCAGTTATTTTTCCAAGGATTAATTGAAATCTACACAGGCATCATCTTTGCACACACGGAATTTACTCCCCTGGCTAGTTGACAGGTTCAGCTAATTGGGCTCTGTTCTCTGCCCTACAAGGCTACAGGCACTTGAGCTCCAGGTCTGCTGGTAGGAGTGACCCTGAGGCTTCCCTACTCTCCCGAGCACCTTTGCCCTCATGAGCTCCCTTATTGCCCGTTTCCTGTCTCTCCAGAGTCTACTGGGTCTGTTCTGCCTACACCTTAGGAAAAGAGCTCCACTGTTGGTGCAAATTGTTATTTAGCTTTTTTTTTCTTCATTATTTAACTTTTCTCATGTTGGTCTTGAGGGCAGACATTGTCTCTTCTCTGTATTTCCTGTAGTACTGTAGTAGGCACCCAGTAGATTACAATTGCTTTTACCAGGATAGTGCTTTATGTGTATCAAGGTTGGTTTTTTCGTTTTTTAGGCAGAGTGTTGCTCTGTCACCCAGGCTGGAGGGCGGTGGTGTGATCTCGGCTCACTGCAACCTCTGCCTCCTGGGTTCAAGCAATTCTTGTGCCTCAGCCTCCTGAGAAGCTGGGATTACAGGAGTGCGCCACCACACCTGGGTAATTTTTGTATAAGGTTCTTTTGTAAGTTTTTAAAAATCTTAACGGCAGTCCACTGAAGTAGACAGAGCATTCTTTTAGTATGCCCTTTTAGTCACAGTCTTTCTAGCGCAGTTGGAGAAACTAAGGCCTACACATAAGCAACATGCCCATTAACTAATTTTTTTATTTCAATAGGATAGACATTTACAAAGTGTAACTCTGTCCCAGGGGCTAGAAAATAGAGCTGAAAGGCTTAATCCCATCCCTTAAGGATGAGGCAGATATTTGAACAAAGAATTGTATACAGCAAGTGAAGTTTTAGGACAGAGGAGTGGTGAAAGTGTTTAGCTTTATTTGGGGAAGATCAGTGAAAGATTCAAAGAGAAAGAGATGCTGGCATTAGACCTTCAAGGACTTCAAGGCGCAGAATGGGTGGAAGGGAGGGCATCCCAGGCAGAAGAAATGGCACATACCGAAGCCCAGAGGAGTGAACAGACAGGCACTTTGGGAGGCCCTGTAGCATCAGCATGGCTGGCAGGAGATGTATAGGAGGTAGAGGGGAAAGATGGCTATGACTACCATTGGTAGGACCCTAAGACTTCCAGAAGCAGGAGACTAAAAGGGCCCTTTATAGTTCCTTCCCCTTCATTCAGTCTCCCCGTCACTAGCACTTCTTTCCAGTCATATACATTCCATAAATGTCCTTTAAGCTCTGGATGGGCTCTCTATTGTCCTTGCTTTTTTGCACTCCAGCTTGCCTGCACATGGATTTGTCATCTCCTTTTCATGCTGAAAGAAAACAGATTTATTGCAGGAGGAAACTGTGACATGATAGCTTGGAGGAATAAAGGTTACCAGGTGAAAGGACATCTGCGTCATTTATTCTCTGTGGCATGAGGTAGCTGAGAAGGAATAAAGTCCGTCTGTGACCAAACACCTGTGTTTCTGTCTCGCTGGCAGGGTCACCAGAGGGGAGCTTTAAATTGCTCTTTAAATGAGTCAGACAGACCTGTTCCCCCAGAGACGAGGCTGGTGCAGCTTGAGCTCTGTGGGCAAGTCTGACTGGGCCCTTCTCACTTTTGCCTGTGTTTGCCTTGCAGCTGTGTAAATGAGTATGGAAGATTATGATTTCCTGTTCAAAATTGTTTTAATTGGCAACGCTGGTGTGGGGAAGACGTGCCTCGTCCGAAGATTCACTCAGGTAAGGGAACTCATAAGCCCAGGGTTGTGTTTGTCAGTCTAGCCTGAGGGGTTGGGGGAATCTGTTGAGATGGATGACCCGTTTCAATGCCAGGGGCTTAGCTGTGGGTTCCTGATGCACCCTTTGAAAGCTGCATCTGCTTTGTAGCCTAGACAAGGGATTTTTTTTTTTTTCAATTTTCCCAAGATTAAATGATTATTAAAAAAGCGCGCCACCCTGTATAGAAATCAACATTCTCTCCCATAATTGTGTGCATCTGGGACTACAGAAATGTCACTGTCCCTGCCCCACATCTTCAAATTAACATTTTCAGGTCGCAACAATAAGTCTTCCCAAAGGGGACCTTCCGGAAAAACAAGCTATTTCCTCGGCTCATATTCCGCTCTTTTTGTAGCATGCACCAACAATCTATCCAAGACGTATTTTTTAAACCACCTCCTGGGAGCATGGCCCTGGGAGTCTCCACCAACCCTCCCACGCCTCTTCTTTCTTCCTTTAATGACAAAGGCAAGTGGTTTTGCTGTCAGTGTGCAGTATCCAAACTAAATTATTGGATAAAAGTAAGTTACTAGTTAATAATCCCCAGGTAGAAACAAATGAATCTGGACATCAAACTGAACCTAAATTTTTAAAAACTCTAATACAAATTAAACCAGTCAAATTCTGCCTAGGCCCCCTTTAATCCTCCCAGGAAACTTGAGTGAATCATTTTCATTTAGGAGCAAATAGGCCAATTCTCTAAATCTCTTCAGTGGGAACGACATGAAAATAGTGAAGAATTATCTGAACTGAATTGAATGGTCCCTCTGGGTTGGATTCGATTCTTATCATATGATCTAAGTACAAGTTCCCTTTGAGACTACCCTTTTGAGAATCACTGCTGGAGATTATATACTGCTTTCATATGGAAACGAGTGAGAACTCATTCCGAAGTTGACCTTTTTTGTGTGTTTTCCCCTGAAAAATATGAATGGTACCCTTTGTAGGACCATTACATACATATCTTGAATTTTCATAAAGTATTTGTTCAGCAAGTTGGCACCTGCCCCCCTATCTAAGGCATAGGATAACCTGGCGCTGTGGAAAGAGCACTGGCTTGGGAGTTGAGACACGGGTCATAGTCCTGGTTCTGCCCCTGGCTTGCTCTGTGAGCCTGGGTAAGTTACCTCCCTTTCCTGGGGCTGCCTGTTGCACATTAGGGGCTGGGTGAGCTCCAAGGCCCCTTCCAGCTCTGACAGTCTGTGGTTTTGTGGAGAACGAGAGAGGCAGATTGAATAACAAACAGCTAGTGGGGCCAGAGTCACTTTGGCAATGTCAGGGTTTTTCCCATGATAAGTGAATAGAACCCATGCTTTTTAAGCTGTGGCCTGCTGAAACCAAAAGTAACAAGCTAATAGGCATCTGGGCTCAGTCAGCCGCCATGGAGATATATGGGAAACTCCAACTGGTTTTACTTCTACCTAACATTAGTCATATTTTCTGCTTTTGACAAAAGGATAGGACGCAGAGATGTAGCAAAGTTTTCAGTCCCTTTATCAAAAGTTTCCTTGACCTTGTCTTGGTATTGAAAGGTCACTTAAGACATTGTTCAACCTACCTCTCTCACTTTACAGATGAAAGGTCAGATCTAGAGGGGCTAAATGCCTTGCTTAGGATCTTATATTGTGAGATTAGATAGAGTGGCAAGGCTAGGATTAGAACCCGGGTTCCAGGTTCTAAGCCTGATAATTTCTACCTCCTATACATTCTAACTTCTGAGACCATTCTCTTTAAAAGCACAAACAATGTCATTAGATGTGAAAATGTCTCCATTTTCAACAGTAATTTTTTGCCAAGCACATTTTTCTTCTTTCTTATTTGTCTTTTGTGTCTACATTTTACCCCTCCCAGCCCCTCAACTCCACCATAAACTCATATTTCAGAGGCAAGATTATGTTTGTTTGTATTATTTAGCAGACAGTTAAAATGAATCGAATCTAGCTGTTTTTTAGGCACAGGGGTTGGGGAACAAAATGGTGGGTGAAACATTGGGAAGAATTTGTTTAACTTTTTGGCACTTGTTGAGGTGCAAAACATCTGGAGCTATAAACTTGAAGCTTGGCAGCTTTTGTTTCTGAGCCAAACCAAAACAGAAGAAAATTGATTTAATATTTGAAAGTAAAGTTATGAATGTTTATATTTACATCTTTTGCAGACATGCAGTAGAACATTTTCTTTGGTTTGAAGTTCAATCTTTTAAGCTAAAACTTTAATTAAATAATTCTTAATTAAAGATATCTGCGTCATAGTTGCCAGAACTAATAAAGTCAATTTTACTTTATTTTCTGGAAATTCTGGAATATAAGTAAAGAGGGAAGAGAAACTGGGTGAAGAGTTCTTTCTTGACAGAATTTCTTGCTGCCCCCAACTCCCTCCCTAAGCTCATAGGAAACATTGTGTAATAGTAAATTGCATAAATTATACTTGTGCCTTTGTTAAAATCTCATCTTTCTGGTTAAGTTTCCAGTTTGAAGTAAAGCATTTTGTTTGTTTGTTTTAAAATGGCTTACATCAGCCTCAAACTCATCGAATTTGAGGCCCAGAGAGGGTGAGTGGTTTGTTTGAGGTTACACAGGGATTCTAAGGCCGCTGCCTCCTGGTTTAATGCTGTTTCTACCCCACTGTCTCCTTGATGACTTAATTTTCTTAGATTATCTTCCCAGTGTCATTGGCTTTGATCCATGTGATTACATATGCATGGTACATTGCACTGAGGAAAACAGTGATCACCCTGGGGCAAAGGAAAATTCAGAAGCTTCTGGAGATCCAAAAAGACAGATCCCAAAACTCTCTTATTCCTGCTTCTCATGCTGAGTTTTTATTTGTTTTTTCATATTGTTGCCCACTCCCATGGCTGTCCATGCTCAAGACTGATAACTAGTTTTAAGTACCCTTGATTTTACCTCTTAGAAAGAACCTATCCGTTTTGCCCTGACCTTTCCGATTCTGATATCATCCCTGTGGTTGCATGCCCTTCAATCTTATCTTCATGTCTGATTATTCTGTTTCATTCTTAAAATCAGGTTCCCCTGCCCTTTCTCAGTTTTCTCCTTCACCTGTCTTATCTCCTTTTCTCTGTCCTCCTATCTCTTTCCTCTTGTTTCAGCATTTCTCTCTCACACTTTCTCCCTCCTTTCTCTTTCCCTTAAGACATGCATACAGAGTTGCACAGGGCTCCCTTGAGAGTAACCAGAGTTCTCTTTTCTACCAGTCAACTCAGCTGAAGGAAGGACCTGGTGATGGGTGTTGCTGGGGGAGAGGAGAAAGAATTTCATTTAATGGAAATATTTGCTTAGCTGTTCTTTTCCCTTATTTCTTCTTCAGGGTCTTTTCCCCCCAGGTCAAGGAGCCACAATTGGAGTTGATTTTATGATTAAGACAGTGGAGATTAATGGTGAAAAAGTAAAGGTAAGGTGCTAAATACTCACTAAGGTTGTCATGTGCTATGTGAGAGGTTAGGGAAAGTAGTGCTTTCATAACGTTTGTTAAATCTCCTAATTGAAACCCACATTGAAACAATGCACTCAGCCATAACAGCTTATTTCCAGAGTTCTTCTAGTCTTTTTTATGGGGGAAGGAAGGAATTTTGGATGATGTGTTTACAGATTATAAGACAGAAAATGGCTAAGGCAAGTTTGTCCTGTCTCCTGTCATGTCACAAGTGACATAAAGACAGGAAGAAATTTCTTTTTGAATCTCTTGAGCTGGGCCAATAAGCAGGTGCTACTTCCTCTAAACAGCAGCCCCATGAAAGAGGCTCCTGATTTCTATGTTTCATTATGAATCACTTATTTAAATTATCCTGTCTCCTATCATATCCTTGTCTCTAAAAAGGAAAGATACTATATGAGGAGTATGGGAAAGGATACATGCTCTCTACCCCCTGCTTCCTTCCCCTCCAGCCTTTGTGGTTTCTGGATGGTTTGGTACCTGGAAGACGTATGGTGTGTCCAGGAACAGGACAAAGGAGAGAATGTTTATTGAGTACCTACAATCTGCCAGTGCCTCTGCTGGGTGCTTTTACATATGTTATGTTTAGTTTAGTCCTTACTGTAAACCCATGGGGTAAGTGGTATTATCCTCGTTTTACTGGCTTCAGAGAGGTTAAATAACTTATCCATGGCTACATATAGATAAGTATAGGAAAGGGTACAGGCAGGATTTGAACCCATTTAACCAACCAATACACACCACTGCCTTTCTGGGGTCTCCCCTGCCATGAAAGAAGAGGGGAAGAAAGGCACACTAGGCCTATCACCTGGAGCAAGGAAAGGAGGGAGGTGATGGAAAGAAATGTGAAGTGAGACTAAATCACCTGGAAGGAGGGTAAATATACTGATGTTTGGCACTGTGCTCTACCTGCCGTCAGAGTTACTGAAGTTCCACAATTGGCTCTTCAGAGCTGGGCCTTATGGAAAGAAGTGATAGCCAAGGCCGGGTACAGTGACTCCCACCTATAATCCCAACACTTTGGGAGGCCAGGAGTCGGAGACATAGTGAGACTCCATGTTTTCAAAAGATAAAAAATTGTCTGGTCATGGTGGCATGCACCTGTAGTCCCAGCTACTCAGGAGGCTGAGGTGAGAGCATTGTTTGAGCCTGGGAAATTGAATCTACAGTGAGCCATGGTTGTGCCATTGCACTCCAGCCTGGGTGACAGAACGAGACCGTGTGTGTGTGTGTGTGAGCGTGCGCACGCGTGCACGTGTGTGAGAGAGAGAAAGACAGACAGATGGAGTCGGGGGGTGTGGGGGAGGGATGGAAAGAGGGAAGGAAAGGAAGGAGAGCCCAGCCATCAGCAGCGCAATGAAAACTGGCATTTTAGAGTTCTACCTTGATTACCAACCTAAGCATCCTATGTTTGGGTCCATTTATTTGCATCCTTCTCCCATATGTACATGCTCTCTTTCCTTTGAGTGCCTTGGGAAGAGCAGAGAAGCTCCATAATGCTCTTCAGCATTTTCTAGATACTTGCCATCACAGAGAAGTGTTTAGGAGGAGGTCCTTGAGTGGAGGCCAGAAGCTCTCTCAGTGTCTCTTCCAGCCCTGACTACTAAAATAGCTTGTACTGCAGAGACATCCACACCAAATACAGCAGTGAATGGGGAGCACTGGAAGAGAAAAGCAGGGTATGAAATCCACATAAATGCTAACTAAAAAGTGAACAAAAATAGTGTAGGGGATGGGGAGAAGGAGTTAGGCTATGGGGACAGGAAAGAGAGACAGGAGTGTGCTCAGGAGGCATTGGTGGGAAGAGCCTTTTGTAGCTTTCTGTTGTCCTAGCGGAGGGGAGTTACCCAAGGAGTTGGGGAAAGATAACTACTGTTTCATGCATTTTACTTCCAGATATTTGGGTTTTCCATTCATTCATATATATACATATGAGTTCATTTATGGTCAGAAATATTAGTGCCTACTACCTTCCAGGCACTAGCCATAAGTAAGAGTGAATAAGGAATGGTCCCTGGTGTTAAAGAACAGGCTTATTTTTCTTTCCTAAATTCCCGGGCATAAATATTCCATTTATTCTTTCTGCAAACCTTATTTTAAAGTGCTTATTACACTCTGCAAAAATTGATATTTTTATAACATCTGACTCCACCATAAGGCCACAAGCTCCCCAAGAGCAAGGTTTGTGTCTTACTCATATTTGTATTCACAGCACACTTTCTGTCCCCAGTACCTTTTCAGGCTTCTAGAACTTTATAAAAAGTGACAGTTGGCTCATCTCCCACATCCAGTCCAAATCAACTTGCCTGTGATTCTTTCACGCCCAATATATAAAATAAAGATACAGAGTGATCCTCTTCAATCACGTTAATTTAAGGGCCTCATTAACATGTAGGCATATGAGGAATGACTTCTTTAATCCTTCCTTAGAAGAGGGCAGAACTGCACAGTTGTTGTCTTACTGTCATCTCTTTTTTTTTTTTTTTGAGGCAGGGTCTTGCTCTGTTGCCCAGGCTGGAGTGCAGTGGTGCAATCACAGCTCACTGCAGCCTCAACCTCCTAGGCTCAAGTGATCCTCTCACCTCAGCCTCCCAAGTAGCTGGGACTGCAGGTGTGTGCCACCATGCCCAGCTATTCATTTTTATTTTTATTTTTTGTAGAGATGGGGTCTCACTATGTTGCCATATTGATCACTCCTGGGCTCAAGTAATCCTTCTGCCTCAGCCTCTCAAAGTGCTGGGATTACAGGCATAAGATACCACATCCAGCCTGTCATCCTTCCTCTTTAACATTTACCGAATATCTTTTCTCAGTGATGTTTAAGTGTCTTTTTGCTAGTAGTTTGCAGGCTTTCCCAGAGCCTCATAAAGTCAGTGGATAAGAGAATCCACCAGTGATTTGTATGGCATCATCCGCTTGGTGAGTGGCAGAACCAGTCTCCTGACACCCTCGTCAGTGTCCTCTACAAGTATCATTCTTTCCAGGATGGCTCCCAGGATTGAAGGCAGGGAATCCAAGGTATTAGAAAGATTCTTGTAGCTATTCAGGCCAAGTAAGCACCAAATCAGTAAAAACAAAATTAATGAAGAGGCCCTTCTCTTAAAATAGTCTGCATTATGAAGGTGATCTCTGGTAGAAAATATAATTAAAACATATATAGACCACTGAACTGTATGTTTAAAAGTGGTTAAAATGATAAATTGTATGTATGTTTTAGCAGAATAAAAAATTGAGAAAAACACAGAACTTTCTCATATAATTTTTAGTCTATTATAAATTAGTGAGTAATAAGCAAAATTCTAAGCTCAATTTAAACCATTTTAGCCTTAGGAGATTAATCATAATAGAAATAGAAGATTTGCTGTATCTCCTTCCAGTCTGGTCTATGTTGATTGATAGGCGAGTCATCAAAGTATTTGTATGTATTTGTTTCTTCAACCATCTGTCCATCCATTCATTCCTCCATCCTGTGTTGTAGTAAATGTTTTGTGCCAAGCACTGTGGTAGTAAAGCATCACTACCCCTTAGTAACTTACTGTCATCTAGCTCCATCTATGAAATCTTCTTTAATACCCTACTAATCTGTTAAGTAGAATTGACCAATTCTTCCCTTGTGATTCCACAATCCTTTGTTCATTCAGTTAGTCGTCATTCAAATGTTTCTACCACACACTATGTACTGTGTTAGGAAGGTACTGGGGCTGTAAGGTCAAATAGAAGACAGCCTTTGCTCTCAAAGAACTCAGTAGTAGAGTAGTAAACCAATGATTGCAGTACATTATTGTGACGGTGAGGCAATGGAGGTTAAGTAGTGGTGCAAAGAATAGAGTAGGCAAACAATGTAGCCACATGCTGGAGGTGAGAGTGGTTAGAAAGCCTGTGGCTGCAGTATTGAAAACATATTGACAGGCATGAGACTAACAGCAGGAGATGCTGTCTTCCTTTTTAATAGAACATCTTATATTCTACTATAGTTAATTAACTGTGTGTGTCCTTCCTATAGACTGCGAGCTGTTTGAAATCAGGGATGATTTTATTCATCTTTATATCCTCCCTGTGTTTTACTCATCTTTATATACTCCATGTGCCTAGCACAGTGCCTTGCATATGTTAATGTCCTATAGATGCTGAAAGGTGCAAATGAATTGCAGAGAATGGTGAAACCAAGTTGAGTGACAAAGGCAGTAGAATATGAATATTCTCAATCATCAACTCTCAGCTAGAAACAGGCAGCCCCCTATGAGAAGGTAACATATCTTGGCATGCTCACACAATCGCTGTTCTAGAAAATATTTCAGTGGCTTTAACCCTCAAAGCTGTTCTCAAGATGTGAGAACACACTGATTTCTAATGCTGAACAGTACCTAAATCACAATCACAAGTGTTTTAAAGCTGCACTGAGTGCAGCTTTAAAACAATAGCCCATTATTCTAAGACACATCCTGGCAGAGAGGAACCGTGTCCCTAGGTTTGAGGCAGAGAAGAGAAATAGCCTTTGTCTCAGCAAAAACCGTAACATCTGTACAGTGGCCTTTAGCATACACAGGCTTTCATGTGTATCATCGAAGAGCAGCTGCAGCTGCAGATCAAAGGAGAGCCTCTGTGTGCTGCTGATTCACGGCAGGGACCACGGGTCACTCAGCAGTCTCTTTAGCTCACCTGGTATGAGCAGAGAGTGACACCAGTGGATTCATCCTCTTTGGATACAGATGCACATTTTAGTTAGTCTTTGGTGGCAACAACAGCGTGGGAGCATGAAAGGAGTCCTCAACTGGAAATAGAAGGCCTGGATGCCAAGTCCTAGCTTCGTGGGTAACCAGTTAGTTAGGGGACAGTTTCCATTAATATGGGGAGGTATACACTTGCCTACCTCACTGGGTTGCTGTAAAGATTAAATGAGACCAACAATACATATTTGAGCACCTCCTGTTTGCCAAGTTCTCTGTTTGCTCTAAATGGACCCTGACGTCTCCCTCATGAAGATTTCAGTTTAGTGGGAAAGATGGCTATTAAACAAATTATTACAAATAAGTGCTTCAGGCATGTCAGGTGCCATGAGGGAGAATGGCAGGATGTATCGCAAGAGAGACTGTGTGGGGTGGAGGGATGGTTTAGTGGGAACCTAACCTAATCTGAAGGTTCTGGAAAGCCTTCCTGAGGAAGCAGTCTTATTTACTGGACATAAATACACCTGTGACCTGCAAAATTTGTGCAATTAGAAGGAAAGATTAGTATTTTCATTGATGTTCTTATTTCTCAAGGCCTTGTGATTTATACTCTGGAGGATAGTTTGTTTTCAGTAGTTGTCTACTCTGTGCAGAGAAATTCAGGGAAATTGAGAAGTACTGCCTTCTTTGTTATTAGAATTATTAGTTATTAGGACTTAGAACTGGTTGATAACTGCAGAAAAAGTGAACCTTCATCAGGTTGTGTGTTATTAACCACTTTTTGTAAAAAAATACGCGAAGCCCAATGAGATTAAGTGACTTGACCAAGGTCATAGAGCTTAAGAGACCTGAAGGGAAATTATATTGTTGTCTGCCATGGCATGGTTCTTGTTTTCTTTAACAAAGATAATACCTTAATACATTCATTTGAATTTCGAACTGGAAAAGTGGTGAGGTTGGCTGTCCCTCCAGTTGCTGATTAAATGCCAGCAGTCACAGGATAACAGCTTGCCGTGTATCATGCCTTTTGTAATACGGCATTGTGTTTAAGAAAGTGGACGCTGGGACCACAATGCCTGGTTGAATTGGTTCTGGGACATACTGGCTATGAGATGCTGAACAAGTTAATTAATCTCACTGTGCCTCAGATTCTTCATGCAAGAAATGGGTATTGTAATAGTATCCACCTCATAGGGTTATTGTGAGGAATAAGTGAGTTGCCACAAGTAAAATGCTTAGAATAGAGCTTGGCACGTAATAAATGCTTGACGAATTTTCTTTGTGTATTTTTTAAGAATGAAAAGGAAACTCTTAACAAAGAAAAAAAAAAAAAACCACAGAAAACAAAATAAGCCCCTCTTCCTAACCAGAAACACACCCAACAATTTTTTTTTTTTTAATTTTCAGTGTTTTTTTTTTTTTTAGGGCAGAAAGTAACTGTTAAATTATTTGTGTTCCCATTAAACACATTTAAACCATTAAAGGTGTTCACATTTCCAAACTAAAGCAAGGCAAAGCTTTTTTTTCTTTTTTTCTCCAGCCTGATCCTTCTCCACCTGATTCTTCTGTTATGCCTTTACAGCTACAGATCTGGGACACAGCAGGTCAAGAGAGATTTCGGTCCATTACCCAGAGTTATTACCGAAGCGCCAATGCCTTGATCCTCACCTATGACATTACCTGTGAGGAATCCTTCCGTTGCCTTCCTGAGTGGCTGCGAGAGATAGAACAATATGCCAGCAACAAAGTCATCACTGTGTTAGTGGGTAAGTAAGGGCTAACCAGGAGGGAAATTGATTTGTGGGCATTAGAGGATTTATAATCACATAAAGCTCATACATTGCTGCCTTCCAAGAATATAGTCTATAGCTAATAATTCATGCAGTCAACCTTTAGTTCTTCTGCAATTGAAGAGAAAATGAAATAGGTGCCATCCCATGGTGACAGTTTAGAAAAATAAAATAGAAAACATTTTCTATCAATGTAAGCTCTAGGGAAGAAGTCGGATGGCCATGAAAGTTATGTGAGCTGCTAAAAATTTTAAAAGTCTAATTGCAAGATGAAAGAAATGGCTGTTCTAGAAGGAAAATGTATCTTTTAAGTTGATTAGGAATTCATTATTGAAGCTATTGTTTATTGCCTTAAAAATGGATTTTGGTAAATTTTTTTCCCTTCCTAACATATAGCCTGATTTGAGAAACTCTATGTTTCAGAAAGAATCTGCTAAGGGCAATGCTATAGTTTCATTTTGTAGGAGAATAAAACCTCTATTTAGTGTCGGGGAAAGCATAAAACAACCCTTGATTTTCTGTCACGACTGATACATGCATTGAAATGGACCAGGTCATTAAAAACTTCTCTGTCTGTAGTGGAAAAGTGTCAGTAACCATTTGATCATTAACATATTTCTTCCTAGAAAGGAACGTTCCTATATAGTCTAGCAATACCTGAATTTGGGAAATTTGAGTAGAGAGCCTTAGAAGCATTGTTAAGTTACAAATTATGGTTAATAATAAGCTCAGTAAACACTTTAGAATAGTGTTATAATTGGGATATGTGTGCCAGGAATGATACGAGGAACTTTACGTATCATGATCCCTGATTTACAGATCAGGAAACCACGACTCAAAGAGGTGAAGTTCTTTTCCCAAGGTCACACAGCATGTAAGATCAACTCCAAGCCCTGTAGTTGTCCAGCTGTAATGTTACGTTGTAACAAATTGCTAGACTCCTCCTTCAAGCTGCTGGGTGAAGCATCTGTGTTTCTATGAGCTAGTGCTCCCTGTAAAACCCTTTTGGACAATGTTGAACCTTTGCCATGAAGCATTTGAGAGGTCTACATTTGTACCTTCTGTTTTACAGAAAGCCTTCAGGAACTTGAGTCAAAGCATTACTACTTGGGATTTTATCTAAGGAAGTTAAACGAAAATTTGAGGGGAGATAATTAGTACAATATGAAAGAGGAATTGGCTTAAAAAACAATTTTACTATGGAAAATTTCAAACATAAGCAAAAGTAGAGAAACAGTATAGTGAATCCCCTTCTACACATCTCCCAGCTTTCACAGTTACTAACTCATGACCAATCTTATTTTCTCTTCCCTAGCAATGCGTCCACCTTCTCCCTCAGATTATTTTGAAGCAAATCTCAGCTGTTGTATTAATTCATGTTTCAGTATCTGTGTATATCTCTAATAGATTTTTTAAAAGAAAACCTAACCTCAGTGGCATTTTTATACCTAAAATATGTTAACAATTCCTTAGTAGCCTTAAAAACTTAGACAGAGTTCACATTTCCCTGATCAACTCATGAATTTTTTGTTTGTTTGTTCAAATTAAGATCCAAATAAGGTCCAGAAGCCGGGCACGGTGGCTCACACCTGTTTTGGGAAGCTGAGGCAGGAGGCTTGCTTGAGCCCAGCAGTTCTGACCAGACTGGGCAATATAGCAAGATTAGCCAGGCATGATGGCGTGAACCTGTGGTCCCAACTACTTAGGAAGCTGAAGCAGGAGGATCACCTGAGCCCAGAAGTTGAAGGCTGCAGTGAGCTGTGATCACACCACTGCATTCAGCCTGGGTGACAGAACCAGACTCTGTCTCAAAAAAAAAAAAAGAACACCATCTAAGGTCCATACGTTGTGATTGACAGCTACATCTTTTCATTCTTTTTTCTGAAGTTTCCACTTCCACTTTTTGTTCTCTATTAGAATTTATTGCTAATGCATTTGTTTGTCCTGTAGGCTTTACAAGTCTAAATTTTGTTTTATAGCCCCTGAGGTATCATTTGATATCACCTCCATCACCTGTATTTCTTGCAGATTTGTAGGTAAGTCTAGAGGCCTGTTGACAGTCAGGGTTTTTGTGGTTTTCTTTTTAGACAAAACGCTACATATATCATACTCTGAGGGGTAGTTCTCATAGGACAGGCAAGAAGAATGCTTGATTCTTTTTTTTCACCACTTTTCAAGGTAATGAGCTGGTTCTCCAGTATCTTCTAAAAGTAACTATTGACATCTGTTTATATTTTTAATATTATTATAAATTTATAGATTTAAATAAATTTGATGGGCTGGGCGCAATGGCTCACGCCTGTAATCCCAGCACTTTGAGGGGCCAAGGCAGGTGGATCACTTGAGGTCAAGAGTTTGAGACCAGCCTGGGCAACATGGTGAAACCCCATCTCTACTAAAATATACAAAATGTTAGCCAAGCATGATGGCGTGTGCCTGTAATCCCAGCAGGAGGCTGAGGCAGGAGAATCTCTTGAACCTGGGAGGCAGAGGTTACAGTGAGCCGAGATTGCACCACTGCACTCCAGCCTGGGTGACAGAGCGAGACTCTGTCTCAAAAACTAACTAACTAACTAACTAAATTTGATGTATTTCAGTCCCTTGCAATTATTATTACTAATGCTCCCATTATTCCAACTTTACCAGTGGGAGCTTCTTCAAATGGGCTCCTGAGTCCTTTTGATATGACCCCAGGAATGTTGGATACTTTTTTTGCTTTCTGGTATAACAAGTGTTTCAGTCACATCTTGTGCATTTCCTGCCCCAGACCTGGAATTAGCCATTTGTTCAAGAAGTGCTTTATTTTCAATAGGGAGTCGTATTTAGAGGCCACAACCTAGGTGTTAGGAGCCCTCCTGTTTAGCCATTGTTTTTAGGCCTTTCAGTGGACAGAGCTTGTGTGTATGTGTGCATGTGTGTGGTGGATTCTGTAGTATCTTCAGGAGGGTTTTCCTATTAGGTTCTGCTAGCGTTCTGATTCACAAGACTACCGTAGACCACGCATGGCATCGTGTTCACTTAGAAGGACACAGGACAGGAAACACAGCTTAACAGCAGATCAGCATCCAGCATCCCTCTTCAGTGGAAGTAATCCTAGTAGCAGTCCACGTAACTTTCCAGGACCTCCTACCCGGTCCCCACACCCCGACAATTCTAGTGTGAGGGAGCAAGGTTCATGTCAAACAAATGGAGGATCTGCCTTGGCCTAGCAGCCTCAATACCCCATAGGAGCCTAAATCTATCATAGCAACTCCACAATCATAACTTTCAGGGTCTCTTCAAGTGAAGTCACCACATTCAGGGAAGCTCAGAGCTATGGCTTTCCATTAGGTATTTATAATTCGTAGACAGAATTCCCAGGCCAGAAGTAATTTATCAGTGAGGGGTCATTTTTACCATAGGTGGTGTTGCCAGATAATACAATTGACACACCTTTGTCAGGGTTCCTGGAGAATCTGAGGTAGGTAGAAAACTTTTTAAAGATAAAATACATCATGAATTATTCATACTGATACTTCTATTTATAATTCAGGACTGCAGAAATTTTACTTAACCTCATTAATCTTATGTTTATATTTCATTTTTCCTATGCCAAAAGTCCCAGTTCCCAAAGATACCAGCATAACTACTAATTTGCTTTATCCCATAATACACAGATAGCAACCTCAGAATAATAATGCCAACAGCACCGCCACCAAGAATGATTACTGAAACAGTTCAAGATTGTTTCTTCAATTCTTTTTGTCCTTAGGCTGTATACCACTGGGGTTGCATGGAATTACTGTATTTTAAACACCTTGAAATAGTTACTCTGTTGGCCTGGCTTAGTGGCTCAATAGTCTATAATCCCAGCACTCCGGAGGCCGAGGCAGGTGGATCGCTTAAGCTCACAAGTTCAAGACCAGCCTGGACGGGGCGAAACCCTGTCTCTGCAAAAAAAAAAAAAAAAAAAAAAAAATTAGCTGGTCATGGTAGTGCACGCCTGTAGTCCCAGCTACTGGGGAGGCTGAGGTGAGACGGGATGGCTGGAGCCCAGGGGACGGAGGTTGCAGCAAGTCAAGATCGCGCCACTGCGCTCCAGTCTGGGCAGTAGAGCCAGACTTTGTCTCAATTAAAAGAAAAAAAGGGTTATACTCTGTGTGGTTATTCCACACATGATGAACATGTTCATTTGCTTAATTTTGCTTTCAGTTTTTAGGGATTGGTTTTTAAATTTAATTTTGAAATTAATTGTATAATTATATAAAGCATTTTTAAGTTCCTAAAGTAAAATCTACAAAACAAAGTATATTCAGAGAGATCGGGTTTCTATTCCTTTCACCTCAACCCTGTTCTTTTCATAGGTAACCATTTTCTTTTAAATTAAGATTTTGATTTATTCTTCTATTAAAAAATAAGGAACTAAAATACGTGTGTAATATATGTATTCATAGCCTTCCCTTTTTCTTGGGTAGACAGTTGCGTATTGTATATACTTGTTTTTTCTGCTTTGCTTTTCTTTTTCTTAACAGCGTATCCCAATGTTTCCATTACATGGCAGTATATGGAAATACTCCTAATTGATTTTTACAGCAGCAAATACTCCACTGTGTGGATGTACCATAGTTTATTCAGTCAGTGCCCTACTGATGGACATTTGGGTTGTCTCTAGTTCTTGCCATTATGCATGGCACTCTTTTTTTTTTTTTTTTTTTTTGAGATGGAGTCTCACTCTGTTACCAAAGCTGGAGTGCAGTGGTGTGATCTCGACTCACTGAAACCTCCGCCTCCAGGGTTCAAGTGATTCTTCTGCCTCAGCCTCCCAAGTAGCTGTGACTACAGGCACGTGTCACCACACCCAGCTAATTTTTGTATTTTTAGTAGAGACAGGGTTTCACCATATTGGCCAGGCTGGTCTCGAACTCCTGACCTTGTGATCCGCCCGCCTTGGCCTCCCAGAGTGCTGGGATTACAGGTGTGAGCCACTGTACCCAGCTGGCACTCATATTTTAAAGTAAACATTTCAGTAATCACAGTCACATTTGTTTTGCTTTACTTGCCCATCTGTCTGGTTTGACTTCAGATCTGGAGTTGAATTTTGATGCTTCTCAGCCTGCAAAAAGTCAAATGCTGATTCTTTATTTGATTTTACTACTGTTATAGGCAACAAGATTGACCTGGCTGAAAGGAGAGAGGTTTCCCAGCAGCGAGCTGAAGAATTCTCAGAAGCTCAGGACATGTATTATCTGGAGACCTCAGCCAAGGAATCTGATAATGTGGAGAAACTCTTCCTTGACTTAGCATGCCGACTCATCAGTGAAGCCAGACAGAACACACTTGTGAACAATGTATCCTCACCTTTACCTGGAGAAGGGAAAAGCATCAGCTATTTGACTTGTTGTAATTTCAACTAAAGGCTGAGGCACGGAGAAGCAAAGGGAATCAGCAACTGCCCTGATGGGCCGTGAGATGCTGGGGAGATCTGGCGATGACTGTGGCTCCCGCTCTCGGACCTTCTGACTCCTGTGGGCTCCTGAGCTTACAAAGCATGGCAGGCCAAGGGCCTCGACCACAGGCCAGCATTAGCAGAACATATAATGGTTTCACCCTTTTGCAGTCTGGAGTTGGAGCAAGGAGAAAATTGCACTAGGCACTCCATGATCTGCAGAGCATGTTGCTTTTGTTTTTTTAAAAAGCAAGTAAAAGCGCATTCCTGAACAGAGTCCAGGGGGAAATGTACTGTAGGGATCCCTCCTGCACATCAGTGGGTGCATGTGGGAGCTGTTCTTTAGGGCTTCGGTGGTAATCATCTTGGGGCCCTGGTTTTCTTGTCTACCAGATAAACCAAAACTGGGAAGGCCAAGTACAGTCTCTGTGGTGCGTATTGACGACCCCATGGAGATTTTGAAAAGTGTTATTTCTCTTGTCCACAGGCACTTTCAAGAACTTTGGGATGTAAAAATGAAATGAAACCTTTACCCATGACCAACAGTAACAATCATTGTTTTAATAATATATACAAACTCCATGACTCCTTTTGGTGCTAATGATTCCGCTATTTCACAGACCAAACGTTTTAGTACGTTGATGTCCTTAAATGTATTATAAAGAAATAAAAAAAAAATGGGGGAAGTCCATGAATCAGCACTCTTTCTCAAAGTCTCATTACTACCTTTTTAAAGGTGGATTTTTGGGAAAAGAGAATAGTTTTCCTTTTATGTTCTTCTCTGAATCTCTACCACTTTCTTCTCTTGTGTCTCCGGCCCTTTATGTAAATGAAAAAGTTTGCAAAATGAAAAAAATAAACAAATAAATGGTTGATGATATTCTAATATAAAAACTTAGCTCTAAGACATTTTGAGTAGTATGAGGAAACAGACCAGATATGACCAAATACTGTGGATGAATGGACTGTAGTGCAGGGCTCCAAGCAGAGCACAGTCCTCGATAGTAGGTCACGTCTTTTACTTCCTGGTACTCTCCATCTTGGACAGACCAAGGCTTAGGATTTTGTAGATTTTTTAGTATGATAAGTGAGAATAGCAACAGATGAAAAGTCTCACAACCCGTTTTTATATCTTCTGTGATAACCTTAGAAAATTTCTGCTTGTGGAAGCAGATTGAACTGTTTTTAACCCCTCCTTCTTGTAATAATGTTATCTTCAGACGCTTAACCATACGTTCTTTCTTTTTTCTTTCTCCTTTCCTCTCTGTTTTTCTGGTCTCTCCTTTTCTTCTTCCCTCCCTCCCTCCTTCCCTCCCATCCTTATATGCATGTGTTACTGCAAATCTCCAATTCAAATGGAGGTGTATATGCCTTTACTTAGCCAATTTAAAAACAGGACTCAAAATGGGAGATGTGCTGCTGAATATGTGTTTCTGTTTCTTCAGTGCCATACTTTGATAGCTTCCAATTTGTTCACTGATATAAATGCAAATTGGGAAAATAATTAAACCTGTATGCTGTTGATGCTGTCAGATGTTTCTGTAGCTTGCTGCTTAGCATAACTGAGGGAGGAGTAATGGAATAAGGATATGATGTTTAATTCCACTGTTGCTGTAGATGGTGACAGTCTCAGTACTGACATGTTGATGTTTGAAAGCTATTTAATTGTAAAGAATTGAGTCATGTAAAGACACGATGTGGATAAAGCATTTCTGGCATTTCTCTAGCAGATTCCAGATTGACCAGTCTCTTACACATGAGATTATGCATATTTTTTAAGGGACTGATACTTCTGATTGGCCTCACTGTGTTTTTCCTCATCCTATGGGAAAGAGAAAGGGATCCCAGAAGTTTGACTTGTTTTTCTTTTAGAATCTGTCTCTGCAGGAAAGAAAAGTCATTTTAATAAAAACCAAAATAATTTATAATAATTGTTGCCTTTCCCTCCCCATCCTCTCCACTAAGCCAGCAACTAAAGGTATTCAGAAAACAAGTTAATCAAGGAGGGCAGAAGAACATATTTTAAACTGTAAGGAAATGTTCCTACGTTTAGATTTATTACCTGTCATTTAGGGCAAAAATCCAGTGTCCCCAGCACATGATGACCCAACTTTGTCTCACAGTAGCAAGTGTGTTGAAAATAAAGTTGCTTTGTGAACTTAGAGGAAATGGCTGTGTTAGATTGGACTGATTTAGTTGCAAAATAACACCTTTTAGGGTCACACTTGTATTATTCCCTAGGGTTTAGCCTTCTCTGTATACCCTTGGCTAGACTCAGAAGGGGATTAAAAAGCTCGATCTTGGCCTCTTTCTTCCTTGTTGCTCCTCCCGGCCTTTCCATAACTTACCCATCCACAGCCCGTCAGCAGGAACACATGAGAATGTGGGACTTTGTTTCTTTTTTTCTTAGTTGTGTGAATTCCAGATTAGGCCTTACGGATGCTTGTCTACTAATATATCTCAAGTTTGAAAACAATCCCTGACAATTTTGTAGGTGCAATAAATATTAGTCAAATAAACATTTAAGTGCCAAGAAGGAGGGGTGGGGGAAGGAGCTTTTTTTGATTAAACAGAAATTCCTTCAAGTAGAACTTGAGAAAGGACACTAATTACAGTCATCTTAACCCAGGCCAGAACCTAAATGTATTGGTTTGCCTAACAGTCTTATTGTCATGGCACTGTTTGCTAAGATGAGCCTTCTTTACATAAAAATGAACTCTCATCTAGTGGTGGATGAAAAAAGAGAAATTACTTTATCATAGTTTAATTTGGCTTGGACTACCAGGGTCCATGTATTCCTCCATTTTTGGTGTGATCTTTTTCTTCTTTCAATAAAATTATTAAATATGTGGCAAAACATTTTTGTTTCCAATGAAAATGCATGATACTCATGTCATGGAGTCAGGCTTGGGAAAATCTATGAAATAATAGTTTGCTGATAATGATATTTTATGATGGCTTTGTGTAGACTACATCCTCAAAGGATGTTGTGCTTCTTTGCCCATAGAAGGCTTTTTCTCCCTTTGTATGTTTTTATTAAATCTGTTGAATTATATTAATGTTTTTTGAATTTACAGGGCCAATCATCTTTTTGGTGGATTACTTGCATTAGGCCATGGGCTCTTCCTGGCCTTTCTTTTTCTCGGTCTTTTAATCATTTCACGTTTTTATCTCTCCCTGAGTAAAGTGGCAAGAAAACTAAAAGTGAAAGTTAAATGGGTTGATTTGACAATGTGTCAAGTTCTGATGTAGAGTTAATAAGGAAGGTAGAAACGATTGACCAAAATAAGATATTTGGATCAGGATTAGTTAAGCCGTTTAGATTTGGCCAGAGACGCCAGATTTAACAAAGGACTGGGTTCTTATCTTCTTTCATTCATGAATATATGCCTTGGAAGGACACTAGTGATTCCCACAGAATTAGGCCAATGATTTGCCACATTACCCTTTAAGCTAGCCCATAATTCTATCAGATCCCGCACCAAGTTTCAGTTCATGACTCATATGAATAAATAGCAGTTGTAAATGATTTTGAATTGGTCTTCCTACTAAAGTGAAACATCTTCTTTTAAATCAAGCCACATGAATGAAATAGCACAATCAGAAAAATTGTTTCTTTCTTTTTTTTTTTTTGCATATCAAACCAATGGCCTTCTCCACTAAGCCAGCAACTAAAGATATTCAGAAAACAAGTTAATAGAGGTGGGCCGAACTTTTTGAACTGTGAGGAAATGTTCCTAAGTTTAGATTTATTACCTGTCATTTAGGGCAAAAATCTAATGTCTTTTTTATTTCTTAATCCTGTAGAACTCTGTATTTCACAGTAACGAGTACTTAGGGATCATTGCTCTGTTAGCCTCTGGGAGAGATCTTCTAGGGTTTGCCATTACTTTTTTCTATAATTTTTTTTGTTGTTTCTCAACCATGGTCCTGACATGTTTATACTATGATACTTTTGAGACTTCACTAAAGAATTAAAAGCTGTGAAACAACATTTGCTTCTCATCCTTCAGACAAAATGTGTTCCATTTAAGCAGCATGGTTAAACACTAATTTTGGGATAAGGGAGGGATATGTTTTCTTTACTTTCTTTTTGGATTTTATTTCTGTGACATGAGCCAATTTGTGTTTGGAAGGAAAGATGCCTTCCTTTACATTCTTCACACTGGCAAATTTTTCATACTGAATCAAGAAATTATCATCCCTTCAAAACACATATTAATATAGCAACGTTAGAGTAAGGGAGATGGTATATCATCTCCTCTCCTCAGTCCCTTGATGTTGGAATGTTATTATCATTTCCAGGAGCCATACTTTGAAATTAAAAACAAATGGAGGCATTACCAGTCTGGTGAAGGAATTTTAAATGCAAGACATTTAAAGAATACCTGAAGGATTTGGGGAGACTTAGGTTAGGAAAAAGAGGGGATTACAATTAGTGCATTAGAACAAGATGATCTGTGGTTCAGAGGGGTGGAATGAGGCCCACTGAATGAGGCCGTAGGGACACAGATGTGGGTTCCATGTCAGGGAGACCATTCTCGAAAAGTTGGTTCACTATGGGACAGGCTGCCTCAGGTGATAGCCTCTGTCAAGAGGCAAAGATGTGGAGAGGATCCTGTTGGTTAGAGATTGGAGCAGGGGACCTATTAACCTAAATTCCCATGTTGTATGTAGTACTTTGCCCCTCATAACATGTTCAATTAAATATCTGTTAATTCATAGCTAATGATTTTTTAATGGGCCCTCGTTCTTCTGCCACAGTGCATCCCACCTTCATCTTTCAGGGAAGAGGTTGGTTGCACGTTGTTAGGCCAAGAGACCCTCCATTAAGCCCTATGCTGGACTTGCTTTATCAGTCCATTCGTTGATGTCCTGTTGAAATCACAAATTGGTTCTTGAGTTAAAAATCAAAAGGTATTGTTTTAGTAGAAGTTACATGAAATTATTCATTTATCACTTGCCAAACATAGGCCTTGCTCTGTTTAATAAATAATGGGTGTCTCCTTCAAGATTTTAGGATATGCCTTTTTAACAGAGCAGAATCTTTTGTTAAAGTTCTCACAAACAGACCAACAAGAAGTTTTGCAGCTCCCAAGAGAGATGGGCTGGTGGGTCACTGACATAAAGCAGTCCCCAAGATCTATTTTAGAGAAGTCTCAATGACATTTCCTTTGTTGGTTTGATTCTCTTGAGAATACATAAGTTTAAAAGAACTGAGGTCAAATTGCTTTATGTGAAAAGCAATAAAAACAAGTATTTTTGACTTGAAAATTAGAGGTAACTGTAAGCAATTTTTGCTAATGAAGTCTATGACCCAAATTATTCCACCTGCAAAATAACTTTCACCATTGCAAGGTTGATAGATAGCTCTTCACTGGTCCTTTTTTGTTTGTTTGTTTGTTTTTTAAGTCATTGGTCTTAAATCAGTATGGTGACAAATCTATTTGAGTTTGATTGAGACTTTCTTGGATTCCTTTGGACAAGAGGTCAGAGCACAAAGGCTAGTCACCACTTCTTTGACTTCTTGAGGTATGAGCCAAAATTTTACTTTTCCATTGATTTAAAGCAGAATTTTTGGAGATGCTGTGTTCTAGTTCCTGATGGAATCTTTGGTGGTTGGTGACTTTGACACTTCAGAGAGTGATGTGGGGAGTTATATAGAAGAGGAAACACTAGTTTAGGTGTGAGGAGTCCTAGTATGCCACAAATTAGCTGAGACTTTAGGCGAAGCACAATGTCTTGAGCATCAATCTTCTCATCTATGAGACAGACCTGTCAGGATTATTGTGAAAATCAGATAAGTTGAAAGTACAGTGCTTGGTAAACAGCACTCAAATATTAGTTCCTTTTCTCCTTAATTAAGAGCAGACTTTGAATGGTCTGATGCCAAGTGTAGATCCTTAAGAGACAAAACAAAGAAACTTTCCTGGCTTCAAAGAAAAGAACTCCATTTCTGAAAGGGTGCCTTAAAAGGAAGTCATTTATCTGATCCATCCTTTTGCCTTTGGGCATTGCTGTCACCCTCCATTTCTTTACAAACTTCAGGCAAGGTGGTCTCTCTGTCTCCCAATAGGCAATTCCAGGGTTGTAAACTCATTATCAGGAAGCTTAATCTTAGAACTGAAATACCTCACAGAGCAATTTAAACCTCTTTCTTCTTGATCCTATTCTTCATGGGAAGAAAATTGGGTTGATCCCTCTTCTTTTTAAGGAGCCACGTATGCCATTTATTATTGCTCTTTTGCCTATTTAAAACAATAACAGTCAGAAAAAAAATAATGATTATCATTAAATGATAATCATTAAAATGATAATCGTTATTTACTTAGTGAATGTCAGGATAGGTATTTATTACTCTTAGCTTCTTACTGGTATCAGATGTAGATCACAGTCTTACTGTTGATTAACTCTTCAGTTATATATATATACTTTGGTTCTTTAGTTATATAATTGATAACAAAGTGTGCTTCTGAAGAATTATTCTGGCTGTATGGTTCTTGTTTCCTCCCCTTGGAAAAAATGGAGTCAGCAATCTCAGTTTTGTGATCTGCTTTTAATTTCATATATGACATTATTTGATGTACATAATTACCAACATCCAAAAGGGTTTCTTCCCCTTTCTACATGTGCACTAAATTCTAAAACAAAAATTGGAATACAAAATGCCTAAAAAAGCAAAAATTCATGTACACAAAAGCAAAAGATAATCTAGTTTGTTAAGATAATTTGTCACTAGCTGGTTGAATAATGCACAGTTTTTGTTTAAGGTTACACAGTTATGCCTGGATTAAATAACAATAGTAAAACCTGACAAGTCTTTTGAAAAACAGCTGCTAAACATATTGCTCTCTGGAATGTAATCATTAGCAACAAATATTCTCTTATTCTACACAATTGCAGAATGCTAGTGGAACTTTCTTGTAGGCTATTTGACAATGAATGTTAATTGATTTATTTTTTAAAAATGTAAAATCCTCTTATCCCTTTAAGGCCGGTTTAGGCTTTCGTGTCCCTGTGGTAGAAAATTTCAAATGCTGGCTTCTAATTTCTACTCACTGAAGTGTCTTCCAGACATACCAGATGGTTGGAGCTCCTTTGATAGTATATAAGGGAGCTACATAAATGTATTTGAACTAACTCGTGAACAAAATTTCTGTTTTCAGCAAAAAAAAAAAAAAAAAAAGAGAAACAAACTGCTCAAAATTTCAGATAATACAGGAGTAAAAAGAGGTTTTTGATAATCTGAAGGGAAAAAGTGTGCCCCATATATCTTGTACACACTTTTAATGCATGACTTTTAGTACAGAGATGAAATAAAATGCAAAATATATAATTCTGGAGATCTCAGCAGCTAGTTAAAATATTTAGAGAAGCTGCTTTATGAAAACTTAGAGAATCCTTGATCTCCCCCACCTTTCCTATCACTCCATTAAGACATGGATCTTTAATATTAATACACACATAGTTTTAACTAATAAACAAGTTAATCACTGAGTTTTATGAACTCGATTCTTGATATTTGGCTATTGGTTTTAAGCATAGGATATCAGTATTATTTGTATACAGCAGTATATAAAATCTAACCAACTTCAGTATAAGAATAGTACTTGATTTAAAATGTTAATATGCAAATATTAACAGTATACTACATCATATTTTGTGTGTTCATATATTGATCTTTTTACTTAACAAAAAGCCTGTTAGAAATATAACCCACTGATGACCTGAGTCCAATTAGCTGAAAACATTCTGTAGAAAGATGATTGTATGAAAAACTCAATCAACATTAAAAAAGGGAAGGGGAGAGGGAACACAAACTTGAACAAAATATTCTTAAATGAAGTTGCATCTCTTTTTAAAATTAAGATATAATTCATGCACCATACAGTTTACCCTATTAAGGTGTAAACGTCAATGTTTTTAAACATATTCATTAAGTTGTGCAACATCACCACTGCCTAACTTCAGAACATTTTCATTACCTCCAAAAGAAACCCCATACCATTTGCAATCACTCCTCCTCCTCCTTCCCCCAGTATCTGGCAACCACTAATCTACTTTCTGTCTCTAAGAATTTGCCTATCCTGGACATTTCATATAGTCAAACAATATGTGGCCTTTTGTGTCTGGCTTCTCTAAGCATAATGTTTTCAAAGCTCATCCATGTTGTAGCATAAATCAGTACATTGTTTTCATGGTTACATAATATTTCATTGTATGTATATGCCACATTTTATTTGTCCATTTATCATTTGATGGACATTTGGGTTGTTTCCACCTTTTGATTATAATAATGCTGCTATGAACATTTATGTAAAAGTTTTTTGTATGGGTGTATGTTTTCACATCTCTCTTAAAAACAATTAGTCTAGCAAATCAAATCATTTATGTTTAAGCAGAACCTCTTGCAATCCTATTTGGTGAGTGCAACTTATGATCTTAGTTTAACTGATCAATTAGGAGACCCCTGAATAAAGTCTAACTCCCCAATATATCCATAAGAATTTTTCTATGAGCCTGTCATTTAGATGTGATAATCAATCAATTTCATGAAGACTGTTTCAGTCTTGTAGAAATTGAGTTGCCATCACATAGAGGATTTCTTGTCCTCTGCATTGTTTAAAGGACAACTACAAATCATGCTGGATAAGAGTACTCATTCAATCTTTTAGGATTCAATGAAGTAGCATTTTAAATATGTAAGTTATTTTGTATATTGTCTGTCTTTTAAAGTTTGGACTTCTTGAAAAAAAGTTTGTCAAATCGCCAAACCATATGACTGTCCATTCATTGTAGCTTATGTTTTTATTACTCAGAAATAATTCATACTGAGAGTAAAAGAAAAAGAATGTATTTTGTGTGCAAAGGATGAATGTATTAAAAACTTTTTATTTGTAACAATTTTTTAAAAAACTAAATGGAATTGCTTTCCCATGTACTTGTATATAAATAAACATTTCCTGTTGCCCACATTTGGATAATCGTATGCCATCAAAATATGTAAAAAGCAAACAAACTTTAAGTGTACTAATGTCTTTCAGCATGGTGCAAAATGTGCCCTGGATCTGGGGGATCTGGAGATCTGAGTTCAAATGTTGATTTTCTAACTGGCTAACTTTGGACAAGTCATTTAACATTTTGCACTATGGTTTTCTCCTTTATAAAACAAAGGGCTAGATTAGATCATCTTTAAGGCCTCCTCCGATTATAAACACTAAATAAGACTACTCTGCTATATTCAGGATATGAAAATTATATGCTATTTATTTCTATTGGTGAGAAAGATCCTTTATCCTATCATATATATTGGAAGGAGTATTACACTGAGAACTAGGAATCACAAATTCTAGTCCCAGTTCTGACATTGAGAAGCCATAAATTCTAGTCCCAGTCAATGTGACTTCAGGTTAATCACTTCATTTTAAACTTTATTTTTCCCAACTACAAAATATGGACACTAGATTAGATAGTTTCAAGATCCCTTCCAGCTAAAACACATTATATGATATCACTTGAGATTTTCTACACAATTAGTAATGAGACTACTCATCACTAGTAGGACATTCATTCCTTCACCCATTCATTTATTCACCATTTATTGAACATCTACCATAGGGCAGGCACAAGATGCCCCCATCTCCACTGCAGAAGTCATAGATTTGCACCTTTTCCTGAAATTCATTTCCACCCCAATCCTTGCCTCTCACCCTCTGCCTTGGCATGCATTTCAGAGTTGAATGTCCTAGATTAAGAGTACAGTAGGTCATGGAACATGCTAGAGTTAACAGGATGACAAAGGTGTCAAACGTTTGACCTTGGGCTCTCTACCATAGTGTTCTTTAGTTAATTGAACATAGGCAATCTGTAACCCTTTCTGCCACTATTATTTAATATTTATAAAGTATTGGGCTTTGAAAACCATCTGCTATAATTTTATGTTATTGTCCTATGGCAGCTTATCTGCAGTTGGTAAGAGGCTCTTAATTTTGCTATTTTACCACCTTCACTAACAGGATGTGTTTGCAGAAATTTCTTTTCTAAATTTGCATGTGTCATGGTTTTTAAGTGTTCTATTATTAATATTAGTTTGAACCACATGGAATTGGCATTTTTGTAAGTCAAAACCAGACAGATATTGGCAATTTTATATCATTCTCATATGATCTTGCAAGTCATAGCAGCAAAGACTGGCAGGCAAATGCCACTAGCTGTAGAAAAAAATTAAAACTCTTAAGTTTTTTCATTCTGCTTTGTTTTTACCACTAACGGAATTTGGACAAGTTAGTTCGCCTTGCACATTGGTTTTTCCACTAGTTAAATGGGACAAATTGCAAACTTGCATAGAATTTTAAAATGCTCATTCATATAAAAATCATTACAGATCACTGAAAAAAACCACAAGTACAGTTTATTCCTAAAATATCAAAATGTTTAGATCATTGTGCTTCTCACATGGGCAGTGTAATGCTACAGATACACAATTCTTTGGCAAATTGGAAATCAGTATTTTAAAAAGCATTGAGGATCATTATTATTAATTGACTCGATTATTCCATGTCTGTTACCTGGCAGACTATAATTGATATATACTATCTATATACCTCAAAATGTATCTGCAACTGAGAGGTGAAACCTGGAGCTATAGTTAAAACATAATCACATGGGTGTACTTTCGGCCAGGTGCTCACATCTGAATATTTCAAGACCTGTAGTACATTTCAGGAACTGAAATATCTTATTTTCATTACTCGCAAGAAACCACATGTTTAATAATATAAGACATCTTATCTGTATTTTCATGCCTGTACTTTATTCTGGCCATAGAATGGTTGCATTTTCACATCTAGATCAAAATAAGCTTGAAGATACAGTCTTTCTGACTTTGTTCTTAGAGATGAACCCACAAGAATTAACAACTGTATGAGGCCTAACATTCTACAAAGTTTACTGATGCTCATATTTATATTTAATCTTCATTGTAACCCTGTGAAGTACTTTCAGTTCCTGAAGTACAATGCATACAGATTTTGAGGCAAGGCAAAGATTAAGACACTGCTTTGAACATGGAAATATTCTGGGCAAAGGGAATGAAGAGTAAAAAGGCTTTAGGCCAAAGAACCTATATTACTTTGGATAAGTTATTTAACCTGTTTTCACCTCGGTTTCCTCATTTATTAAATGAGGATCTCAATGCTTGTCTTCATTTATTTGTCAGTTATCTGCTATGTGCCAGGTAGTGTTCTAGTCACTGGAACTATAGCAGTGAACAAAATTTTAGAAAGGTACTTTTGTGGAATTTGCATCATAGCATGGGAGGGGTAGAAAATAAAGAAATGTGTAGTACATCAAGTGGTGATCATTACTATGAAGAAAATAAGGCCAGGCATGGTGGCTCACACCTATAATCCCAGCATTTTTGGAGGCCAAGGTAGGCAGATTGCTTGGGCCCAGGAGTTCGAGACCAGCTTGGGCAACATGGTGAAATCCCTTCTATACAAAATACAAAAAATTAGCTGGCATGCTGGTGTACGCCTGCAGTCCCAGCTACTCAGGAGGCTGAGGTGGAAGGATTGCTTGAGGAGGAGTTCTAGGCTGCAGTGAGTTGTGATCGTGCCATGGCACTCCAGCCTAAGTGAGGGTAAGAAAGAATAAACAAACCAGGGAAAGGCCATGATGGTGGAGTGTTGCTAATTTATGTAGGGTGGTCAAGGGAAGGCTTCACTGATAATGTGTCATTTGAAAATAGACCTGAAAGAAGTGAGGGAGGGAATAGTATACACATCTTGAGGAAATGTGTTCTAGGCAGAGGAACAGAATGTGCACAGGCATTAAGGCAAAAGAATTCCTGGATCTGTAGGAGCATCAGTGATTCTGGTATGGGTGAAATAAAATCAATGAGTAGGGGCAAGGATAGATGAGATTTGAGAGGGATACTGGCATAGATCACAGCACCTTGGAGGCCATTGCAAGGACTTTGGTTTTCACTTAGAGTAAAATGGCAGCCCTTGGAGGGTTTTGAGTAGAGGAGCAATTTGGATTTATATTTTAGCATGGTCACTCTGCTGTTCTGTGAGGATAGATTATAAAGGGCCAAAGGCAGAAGAAATGAAACCATCTAGGGAAACTGCTGCTACAATGCAGGTGAGGAAAGGTGACTTGTACTATAGGAGTAAGTGTGGAGATTGTAGAAGGTGCTCATGATCCTGGCTATATCTTATTTAACTGTATTACATTACAGAAAATGTCAACATAAATAAAAGCAAAATCGTGTAATGATACTTTATGTACATATAATTATCAACTCATGGTCAATAATTGCAATAATTATCAACTCATGGTCAATTTTATTCTATCTATATTCCCTCCATTTTCTCCATTCTGTACTATTTTGAAGCAAGGCCCATACATCATACAATTTTTTTCTTAATTTTTAAATTTCAATTTAATTTAATAACTTTATTTTCCGAGATGGGGTCTTGCTTTGTTGCCCAGGCTGGTCTAGAACTCCTGGCTTCAAGCAATCCTCCCACCTTGGTCTCCAAAAGTGCTGGGATTACAAATGTGAGCCCCTGCACCTGGCTCATCACACGATTTCATCCAGAAATATTTCAGTACATATCATTAAACGACAAGAGTTTTAAAAACAACCATAATATCATTATTGTATCTGAAAAGTTTTGAATATATCTTTGATATCCTCAAGCATGGATTCTGCATTTTTAAAAAAGATAGAACCTATAGGTCTATTTATTTATTTTTTTTTAGAAACAGGATGTCTCTCTGTTGCCCAGGTTGGAATGTGGTGGTGCAATCACAGCTCACTGCAGCCCTGAACTCCTATGCTCAAGCAATTCTGCTACTTCATTCTCCTAAAGTGCGGGATTACAGACACGAGGTACTGTGCCAGGCCTGGGCTTATTTTTTTCTAAGATAATGCTAATAATTTGGACACTGACAGCTGTTTTACTAATCAACGTGCCATTAAGAGCAGAATTATTTGGCTTTAGAAAACCGTGCAAGGCAAAAACAAAAACAAATACCCAATCCTGTGGTGGCTGGGCACAGTGGCACATGCCTATAATTTCAGCATTTTGGGAGGCCGAGGCAGGAGGATCGTTTGAGCCCAGGAGTTTGAAACCAGCCTGGGTCACATGGTGGAACTCTATTTCTTAAAAAAAAAAAAAAAAAAAAAAAAAAAAAGCCTGGCATGGTGGTGTGCGCCTGTTGTCCCGGCTACTCAAGAGGCTGTGGTGGGAGGATCACTTGAGCCCGGGAAGTCAAGGCTGCAGTGAACTGTGATTGCACTACTTCACTGCAGCCTGGGCAATAGAGTGAGATTGTCTCAAAAACAACAATAACAAAAAACACATGGTGAGGGCTAGGCATGGTGGCGTGTGCCTATAATCCCAGCACTTTGGGAGGCTGAGTCGGGAGGGTCACTTGAGACCAACAGTTCAAGACCAGAAGACCAGACTGGACTACACAGTGGTGCCCCATCTCTACAAAAAAAAACCCACAACTTTTTAATCAACCAGGAATGGCAGCATGTGCCTGTAGTCCCAGCTACTTGGAAGGCTAAGGTAGGAGGATCACTTGAGCCCAGAAGTTTTTACCTGTAGTAAGCTATGATTGTGCTATTGTGCTTCAACCTGAGCAACAGAGCAAGATCCTATCTCAAAAACAAAATGTGGTGGAATGTTGGTTAGGATTATTTGGCTATATATAATTTTTGAAACCTGAGACAACAAAATATGGTTTTTGTTTGTTTGCTTGTTTTTTGTCATCATGTGAAAGTCTAGAGGTTGGTAGCCTGGGACTAGTATTGTGGTTTCACGATATTGTCCACTCAACATTTCCATTTTTCTCTCTCTGGCCAGGACTTGGCCTGCAAGGGAGCATGGAAAATAAATTCTTTCAATAGGGAATAATGCTACCCTGAGTAAAATAGGTGTTTTTTTACAGAGAAGGAA